GAATCATTAGAAGTCAAAATTGGAAATCAAAGAACATGCTAATTTTCATTTAGAACAAGCACATGCTAGCAGCAGGCACGACGGAGAAATTTCTTCAAACTCGTACCTGCTCATCATGGAAACAACACGAAGAAATTCATATGATGCAGCTTTAAGTTGAAGGCTGTTGATCTGGTAGTAAATAGAGCCGCTGCATGTAAGTTCGGCGTGAATGAATCCATGGTTCGCCATTGGAGACAGAGAGCTGCGTCCTTAATAAATCCACCAGATTTTGTGGAAAACCGAGATACCAGCGGCTATAGCCCGGTACGGCTTTTATATTTATATATATATATGTATATATATATATATATATATATATATATATATATATATATATATATATAATTAACATGTTAAATTGTTACATTTAAAGATGGTAGAATTTGGACAAAGTTTGTAAATTTGACAGAAGTTAGGTCTGAATTGAACCAAACAGCATATCTGCAGTATGGTGCACAGATGGAGGATGTTTGGGGCTCAGCGTAATATTTTCTGTACACCAAAGTTTTCTGGAGCCAGATGGGAAGTTATCAATCTTTCCCTTAAACCCAGGAACAAAGTAGGCCATGCAAGCAATGAAACTGGAGGCAGAGTCTGGGGCAAATTTCCTCTGCAGCAGTGTGAGAAAATAATAAACTCCAACAAAAGTGATTTATTGTTCATAAAGTGGTTTTAAAAGCTGGTAAAGTTCAGTTAGTTTTTCTTATATGGGCTTCCTCTGCCTTTATCTGTCTTGAATAAATGTGGATTAGATTAATACCAGATTATTTTGATTATGTTTGACTCTATTTAAAATCTAATGTCTGTATTTACCCCAAAACTGGTTAATTGTAGCCATCCAGTTTTAAAATGCCAGCTTGCTATTACTGTCCATATCCTCATTTTGGCAAATACCCACATACAGACAGAAGCTGGCAATGATTTTAGCTTTTCTCTCCATCCTTTCACTGAGATCAGTCGTTTTCCTGACCGACACAATGAGAGAGAGCTTTTTGAAACGGTCTTGCTTTGCTCCCCAGGGTGGCTCCATGAGCTGGGCAAACGTCTGGAGACTCCGTACATCAACAGCACAGTGGGCGGCCCGACGGTCCGCAGCTCCTACATCGCTGCTCTCTACTTCACCCTCAGCAGCCTGACCAGTGTGGGCTTCGGGAACGTCTGCGCCAACACCGACGCCGAGAAGATCTTCTCCATCTGCACCATGCTCATTGGTGGTACGTTTGACACCAGGTTGTCTCTCTCTCTCGCTCTCTGTCTCTGTTTTGTACGACAGTCCAAGAAATCCAGCAGGAGTCGGGTAGAACCGCTTGGCTGGGTTTGGAGACGCAGCTTGATGCAATCACCATCTTTCAGAAACAGATTATTTCAGCTGAGGTGGCAATAATAAGTGCGGCAGCCCAGCAGATTATCATGGGTTTATTTTACTGCCTGTACGAATCATGATGATGATGTAAACACAGCAGTGACTTGGTGTCAAATCCCTATGGATGAAAGAGCAAATAAAACTTTAAAAGTTCAAAGGGCTGAATTTATTTGAGCTCCAAACGAGAGTTTTGGGATCAAAGTTTTATATTTATATTTATCTTTAGTTTAATCTTTAAAGAGATTTTATTTGTGGCTCTTTAACTGGGTGAGGACAGTTTTTTCTCTTGCATATTGTGAAATAATTATTTGGTTTGAATTGCAGCATTAAGTTAAAACTCACAATTCAAGATTAATGAACTTAATGTTTAGACAACTTCTGAGTTAAAACCAAAACATTTTTCTTGGTTGACTGTAATTGCATTTGACTCAGCATTTAATCTTTTGTACATATCTAATATTGGATATAATTCAGATTTAATTCTTTTATTTTAACGAGAGCGTGTATAATTTGTAAATCCCATTACATGCATAGGAACTGTTTTTCTGCCATTATTGAATTTGCGGTTTGTCTGAATGTTCAAGCAGCCCCAGCAAGAATCTGTGCTTTAAAATAAAAAAGAATCTAAAGATGACACCAAAACAAGAGATTCTGTAAGGATTTTTCCTGTTTTCTGTTTTCCCGCTTTCTTTTGAGTTAGCTCACCTTTTTGTCCGACAAAGAGAAAAACTTTGCTGAGTTGTTCATGTGTCTCAGCCGAACTGCTATCATTACTGCCTCCATCTGCCCCAGCTCTGATGCACGCTGTCGTCTTCGGTAATGTGACGGCCATCATCCAGCGCATGTACTCACGCCGCTCCCTCTACCACACGCGTATGAACGACCTGAAGGACTTCATCCGTGTTCACCGTCTGCCCCAGCAGCTTAAGCAGCGGATGCTGGAGTACTTCCAGACCACATGGTCTGTCAACAACGGCATCGATGCCAACGAGGTGGGAGTCTCCTTTGTTTTCACAAGATGCCGTCCCCCAATGACTTAAAGATTAAGAAATGATGATTTTGTTTGTGTGTGTGTGAAATCCCCTCACAACCCTTTCACACCATCAACTGATTTAAAATATTCCAACTACTCTGCGCCTTATTACATCAAATATCCCCAGCTCCTGCACGACTTCCCAGATGAGCTGCGGGCCGACATCGCCATGCATTTGAATAAGGACATCCTTCAGCTGCCGGTTTTTAAAGGGGCCAGCCGAGGCTGCCTGCGCTCACTCTCCCTTCATATTAAGACCTCTTTCTGCGTACCTGGGGAGTACCTGATCCGTCAGGGCGACGCTCTGCATGCCAACTACTTTGTCTGCTCCGGTTCCCTGGAGGTGCTGAAGGACAGCATGGTGCTGGCGATATTAGGTCTGTTTTATGGCAAACCTGCACAGAAACATGTTCATAAGAGATAAACGAGAGCAGGAAAGTGATTGTTGATGTTTGGGATTTTAGGAAAAGGGGATCTGATCGGGTCTGACTTGCCTGGAACTGACCAGGTGATAAAGACAAATGCGGATGTGAAGGCGCTCACCTACTGTGACCTTCAGTACATCAGTGTGCGCGGCTTGAGAGAGGTGCTGGAGCTGTACCCAGAGTACGCCAGCGTGTTCACCACCGACATCCACAACAACATCACCTATAACCTGCGTGAAGGCAGCCAAGACGAGGTACCAGCAAAACAAGAGGATTGTTTTGTATTTAATCAAAATTGCAAATTTACTACCTGGATTTGTGTTTTTTGTTTTTGTTTTTCGGGGGGTTATATTTATTGCCTCTGCAGCTGGGTAACATTTGGTCAAAAGGAGACTCAGTTGTTTGAGAACAGGACATTTCTTAACCCTTTTAGACCTAAGTTTCAAATCTCTGCCTGGATATTTTTGCTTATTTTAATTGCACAAAGTTCTTTAAATGTCCTGTGAGTAAATATATTTCCCCATTTATATCCATAACAACCGGAACTTTCAACATCTAGCAAGTTATTTTTGCAATTTACCATCTATTAAAAGAGTGTTGCACCAGATTAATTTCACTTCCTGCTAAGATGGGAGTGAAATTACCGTAATAACTTGATATCAGCTGGAAAGCGCAACGTCTCCCCTTTCAGAAACTGTTGGAATTTTTCAGGTAGCGCAACATGTGGCGGGATTACGGTACTGCAAATTTGACTGCATCGTTGCCGCTACGTTCAGTCAGGAAGGGTTGAAAGTTATCTATTATGCTTCCTTGAACAGGTTAAGATAGTTTTATGGGCTACACAAAACATATTCATTAATTTTTTTTGCATAAATGAGATTTTAGTCTGCTCAGTTCTGAATGAGCTGGTTTAAGGCTTCCTGTCACTTTAAATACAAACACACTGCTGCTGGCCACACCCCCCAACTCAACGTTTACATTCACACATGGAAACGTCTGAAAACAGATGCGCAATTATACAACTGCACATCTTTGAAAAGCAGAAATAGAGGCTCCTGCACAACCAACAAGAATGCAGCAAGTAGTTTCTGGATGGCAAGTCAACAACAAAACACTTGTCTTTTCCAGCAGCTGTTGTACAGCACATACAGTAGTAAAATCGGTTGAATAAAAGTGCTGGAGCTCCGCTTGGGTTGCTAGGTAACGGCACAATGTCCGCTGAATGTGGCTTAACAATCGGAAGGTTTTTGAAGAGAAGCTCACTTGAGTTTCTGCAGCTAATACAGTCTTTTTTTATCCTAGTGAATGAAAAACATCACCCAAAAATTAAGAAAGATCCATGTTGCAGCTCTGCAAGGTGTGTGCATGAAAACTTAACATAAAAACTAGTAGAGAACTGGAACCCTGCTATTGTTTGTAAAAATAAACAATCATTGCAAGTAAATCCATAGATTAAAAACATAAAAACTTTTACCATTAGCACACAAACGTGGCCAAACAGTGTGGAACAGGACATACTAAGCAATACAATTTTGCCCCCTAAGGTGGCTTTGTCACCCTACACGAGTCTCGTTCTGCCACAGCAACCAAAGACCAATTACTATGAGTGGGTGCCAATGTCAGGCAGGCATATCATTTCATTTCCCCAAAGCCCAGCAGGATGCTGCTCTGTGCTGCCTGACAACCAGCAGTCATTTCAGAAAACCTTACATAACTACTATAATATAGAGAGAAAATGGGAACATGCATCCGATTACATTAGAAAACCGGGCATCTTAAACCACAGCCTTTTACCAAAAAAAAAAAAACAAGTTTTATGTCACCCTAAACCACATGTGTCAAACTCAATGTCCGGGGGCCAAATCTGGCCCGCTGCAGCTTTTTATGTGGCCTTCCAGACTCCAAATTACGACAACAAATCCCTCCAGTTTTTCACAAGTCCTCCAAATTCAACAGGTCCCCACATTTTTTCTGATTTTACTGCCCTTTTTTCTCAAAATTGGTCAAAACTGTGGAGTTTAATTGACAATGTTTTCAGTCTGCAACTGATACATCTAGCAATAAAAAGTCACATTTAACATCACATATTAGCGTAAATATAAAAATTCCTTACAAATATTTTTAATATGTGATTTTGATTACAAAAAGCTACAAAAACAATCACAAAATCCTAATGGGACATATATTTATTGATATTTTAACAGCTAAATTGGTTTTATCAACACATTCTGGCACAACCAGGCCCTTTAAGAGGATTCATATTTTTGACATGGGCCAAAATGAAGCTGAGTTTGACACCGCTGCCCTAAATCGTAAAGTCTGAGCCAATATCACTCAGCAATCTGCATTTTATAATATCTGTATTTTTCAAGTATAAATTGCGTAAAGAAGCTCCCATTATTATGTTGATTTAGCTAAGAAAATGCCTTTATGAATGAAAATATGAAAAATGTATCCTACTATCTCATACGGCTACAACAGTTGCTGAATAAATTCAATTTAGTTTAGTTTTACTTCACAAATTCACAACGCATACAAGCCCTGGAGTGTAAGATGTGAACATGTATTCTCCTTTTGGTTTTTTCTTCACTTTTCTGCTTTTCCAATCATTATAAGGAGGTAAATTAAACATTATGCTAATATGACAAACACAGCTAATGAACTGTGTAATAAGAATTCATTAATTCAAGTACCTTACTTCTTGTTGGGTTTTTTTTTAAGTCTAATCAACATAACAAACCCACAACCAGCACAGTATGTGCTCCTGCGCTTAAGTAGCTTTGCTAAATGAATGTTAAACCATAAGTGTTATTATTAAATCATGAGATTAAATAACAGAAAAGAAAAGTTGAGTAATTTTTTTTAAATGTACTTTTACTATGCTGTACTTTTTACTTTTACTTGAGTAATTTTGTTATGAAGTATCGCTGCTCGTACTTGAGTAAAATTTCTGGATTCTTTAACTTCAAACGTGTTTTAACCAAAAATTCACCAGACACAGACACACACCTGAAGTTTCTGTTAAGGTTTTAGTTTTTTATTGAAAGGAACTGATTTGGAAACAATTTATTTATTTTGTTTGTTTGTTTGTTTTTCACTTGCATGAATTACTGTCATTTCTGTCCTTAAAATACCAAAATTTCCACTTGACTTTATATTTAGGTCCTTCTGATGATGCAATTTTTAAATATTAAAGGATTGATAATATGAACAGTTACTCAGTACTTGAGTAGACTTTTTACCAAATACCTTTTTACTCTTGAGTAATTTTTGGATGGAGACTTTTTACTTTTACTTGTGTAAAACCCTGTTGAAGTAGTGCTACTCTTTTTGGGTAATCTGCCTACCTCTGAGTAATGTAAAAACTTGAGATTTGTTGTGAATATTTTCTATTCTGCTTTTAAGTGTTTACATTAGTTGTTGCTGAAAATGTTAATGGAATGCTTGTGTAGTCCAGAACTGCCTGCTGGCTCTGATGATCTTTTTTTTGTAACATCATTCTTATTGCTACGTGTTGCCTAGCATAGCACTGCGTGTTCCTGCTCATTCATGTACTTGTTCTTGACTGTTACCTCAGTTACTGCAGCACTTTCTCTAATATCTCATTAACAGGATTGAAACCCCTGGTTTTATAGCCGTAACATTTTAAAGCTATGGCTGATATGGACTGAAATGTTGAACAAGACAACAAAAATGTTGGGTAGCTGCTTTGCATGGCATTATTCTGAACTGAAAGCAAATTAACGGTGGGATGTCTGTGGTGTGTGACTGATAAAAGTGACAACTCTCCTATGCTTTCTAAAAACTGATTCTTGTTAGCAGTCTGTTAGTTCCTCTTGATCCCCTCTAGTCGTCTCCATTGTTTGAAAGTTTTGTTGCTCATTAGTTTAATCTTTGGGTTTTTTTATCCTCGCCTTGTTTTGATTTTTGTAGTTTGGAACAGGAAGGACAAGACATCTGTGAAGGGTTTGCTAATTAGAGGACGTCTTTCTGTCAGTCGGGCTGAGGGACGCAGCTTCCACTGTATTAATTAGGGCTTCAAAAGCTGAATGATGCTTAACATTTTGATACCCCAATGCAAAGTTAAACTGGCAAATTACCAGTTCTATGCATGTAAACTTAAGTGGTTAATTTTCTTCATTTCAGTGTTTTTCTGCTATTGTATTTGATTTAACAACGTTCCCCTGGTTGAAGAACAAGGAATGGTCAAACTTATAGCTGCCAGACATCAAAAACTGACACACACATCATCTACACACTCGCAGTGAAAGTATATATAAAACAAAAAGCTTGTTGCCATATCGGCTTTTTGTTGGGGCCTGCCATAAGCATTACATATGGAAGAGCAATGACTGCCTTGCAAAGCACAGTTACACATTGGATTAGTGTGGTCGTTTAAAATGAAGCTTACTGAAAGTTTCAAAATAAAAGCTTCAATATTCCTCCCACGTTAGTGCACCGCCATAGGCAGTGCAATAATATTTGCCTTCATTGTGTTTCTTTCCTCAGGATAGTGAACTGCCTTGCACATTAGCACAAACATTAGCATTTCAGTGCATCCCACTTGTTAGCCTTTTCCCTAAAGTTAGCTATTAGCTCATTTTCTTATTAATTAGACATGTTTAGTATACTGAATGGAGCAAGCCAAATTAAAACAACATGCTAGTGATGCTCCACATGCTACTGCCAGCATTTAGGCTAACATTAGCATCTTGGCATATACACTAATTTTAACATGCAGAATGGCATAAGTCCATGTTATTCAACAAGTTTGTAACTCTCCACATGCTGTTGAGTTGAGTACATTTAGCATTGATGCTAATTTTTAGCATCAGAACGCTGGGTTCCAACCGACGGGCACACTTTGGCAGGCCCCGGTTAAATTTCTTCAGGAATTTTCTAGTTGTGTTTTAAAATGCAAGTAGAATCGATTAACTGATGCTTTCAAATTACAATGGTAATGATTCAGTGTTACTAATCTGAATAGTTATTTAAATCTACTGTTTGGGATTTTATCAAGTGTAACAATACACTGTAAAACATTTGAAGGTGGTTTAACTTGAAAATGAAAGCCCACCTGCTGCCTTGGAAATGCAGTTTAAGTCGACAAGAAAATTGTTTTAGTTTTAACTCAGAAATTAAAGTTCATGAAGTTGCTTTAACAACAAGAAGCAAGTGTATAAAAGTTGTTTCTTTTTAAGTTCTGATAGCTCATTAATCTTTGAGTTTTAACTTAATGCTACAATTTAAACCACAGAGTTATTTGGTTTAGGAGCTTGTTTCTACCAGCTTTTGCACATCTATGGTCTGAAATTGTTGTCCAAAGTTCAATATTAAATAGACTGGACGGGAGAGCATATATAAACACAGATTTTAAATCTAGATCTAAATTTAGATGTGGTTCTAGCTTCTCCTTTCTAAATAGAACGCTATGATTTATTTTTACTATTTAATGTTAAACCACCCAATTCCAATTATCCTACATACGCAGATCAGGAGCTGCTTTGTAAAGTTATATTCTCATGTATAACAGTTTGCACATCTAAAATAAGAACATAATAGAGGAAGATGAGTGGAAACACTTCAACAATATTACAACACAAACCTATTTTATTATTATTAATCGCTAATAAATTTCCACTAGTTTGAGTCTATTATTTATCCTCATCTTCAAAGATTGAGAGATCCTTTATGTGGCCTACCACAATCTAAAGTGATTCAAACTTTAATTTCCTTTTCATCATTTATTTTTAAACACAGCCGTTTGCTTCGGGGATTAAATTTAATGCATTCTTGCATCAAAGAGCTTGTCGGCCTCTAACTGTGCGTCTTTGTCAGTTCCTGCAGAACATTTTTCATCGATTAGAGAAGGCCGCACCATTGCTAAATAATTATCCTCCCCATTGCTTAATAGCCAAAGCTAATTCTGCCACGCACCAGGTGGAAAAACAAACTTACAAGCAATTAGGTTTGGGGGAAAAATATCTGGTGATTCATTCAAATATATGCAGAAATAGAAAGGTGGACCAATGACCCATCCTGAAAAACTTAAACTTTAACAGCTCATCTTTTAAGTTCATTTCCTATTTTTGAAGTTCTGCGATGAAGATAGTTGGCAATTTTCCTCCACCGGTTTCATTCGTTTTCTGAGTTGTGCATTAAATTAGTTGAGATTATTAAGAAATGTGATTACCAATGTTATAAAACAACCATCTGGGGCGGCTAACACACCGACTGCAATCAGTTCGTAATTGCAGCTGCGACTCATTGGCTGTAAAACTCCAGGCTTCATTATTTTTGAGGATAATCTTGAGAACTCTTGTTTATTTGAATTTCCATTATTGAGCTGAAGTGGCAGTAAATGACAAATAGGAAATTTTAGCATCTCACAAGGAGCAGATGTAAAAAATGACAGTTATTAGTCAAATTCCCGAGGAGGGAGATAAACAAATAAATAAAACACAGGGAGAGAATTATTAGCATTTTTAACTTTTTGATAGAAATTAAATATTTTCTGTAAGTAGCAGTTCATTTTCAAAAATCAAAAATCTGAATGTTCTTAAAGGGCCGGTTGGGCCAGAATGTGTTGACAAAGCTCAGTTAACTGTTAAATGTTAATAAGTAGCTGTTTGTTTCAGCATTTAATAAGTGTTTCTTAAAATAAAATAATATTGAACATCTTTTCACACTGATCAGTCCATCCAGGATTTAACGTGTTTTTTTTTTTGTTTTTTTTTGTGGGATTTTTTTTTTAACAACCAAAATCACAGATTTTATCACAGATTTTAGAAATATTTGAATTTCTAAAATTCATCATCACTAATGTGGCTTTTTATTAATTGCCGTATAACTTGACATCAAGTAAAGCTGAAGTTTAACTCAATGTTTTCGGTTAATTTTGAGAAAGATTTGCTGTAAAAATCAGAAAAAATGTGGGAATTTGTAGATTTTGTGTGAATTTTGCAGATTTGTTGTTCATGTAATTTGGAGTCTAGAGGGCCACATAAAAAGCTACGATGGGCCACATATGGCCCACGGGCCTCGAGATTGACACGTGGGGTAAAGGATTTCTAATTTAACATTTACTGTAACATTTATGGTTTTACTCGATGAGGCTGGAAAATATATTTGAAAAGGTTAATTATTTACACATCTACTTGTGCAAATCTGAACGTCTTACTAAATGTTTCATTCGACCTTCTCTCTTCCTGCCACTTTGCCCTTTTAACCTCTTCTAGGTTGAGGTTTACATGCCAAGTTCATTTCATTTCTACTGATCCTCCAGAAACTGCTTATTTCTGATATTTTGACTCGGTTGTGCTTTTAAGAAGCTTACCATATTTTCAAAAAAAAAAGCCTTCAAACGCACTAGAAGTGCTGTTTTCCCAACTTGTCGTCTTTTGTCCCCTTCCTTTTTGTCCCTGCAGGGCTTCAGCAGATTCTGCAAGTCGCCCAGACTTTCCCATGTGAGTTCTGCATTCATTTAATACCCTTCCAGTTTTTCAAAGGGTTTTTATTCCTTTTTACGACGCGCTTTCTGAACGTGTTAGTACGTTGTTACAGAAACAGGAGCACTGCACTGCATGCATGGTCATGGAAAGGGCCTTTTATTGAGGATTAATTTTCATACAAAACAACTACAACGCTCTCAGTGAATCCAACATTTTAATAAGCCTCAAACTTGAATATTTAAAAAGTAAAGATGAGGTTTTGTCTTTCTTAAAAGAATATCTTCAGTCCCGACTCATCGAGTTTCTAGTGAAAATATCTTAACCATAACTAACACATAACTTTTCAGCTACATATAGAGGCTTGTTTTAAGTTAATAATTTCTTAATATTCATGAAAAAGTTCTTGTTCTATTCTCAGATTATTTAGCTTATAACACATTTTTCCCATGTTACAAGTTAATTTATCTGCCAGTCGTACAAGTTCTTTTTTTGTCAGTATTAAGGAATTATTTACTTAAAACAAGCCTCTATGAGCTGAAAAGTTACTTTTAAATTAGTTTAGATATTTTAAGTGGAATCAGAAACTAGTCCAAAATTACTTTGTAAGATTTTGTGCTTTTGAAGTGCATAGAAATGATTATAAAATCTGTCTTCAGGTATTTCTTGGCCCACTTTTGATATTTTAAATAATTTATCTCGGGTGTATGAAATCCAAAACCTACACATGCAAACTGAGTAATTTAAATCTTTTTTGTTTTGTTTTGTTTTATTTTACCCAGAAACAATTATTCACACCTTGAAAAAAGAGTGTTGATCTCCTAAAACTGCACAAAATACAAATACGCATCACCTGATGAAGTTAAATCCACTAAGTTCATGCAGCTTGGTGTTGGAAAGTGTGCATTAAAAGATGAGATTGCATCACCTTGTTGCCTATAATTATACACACAGTGTAATTAAAGGCAGAAAAAGCGATTTCCCCTGGTTTCCATGTAGATTTTTGAGGCAATCCCTCCTGTTTTTCATGCGGTGCTGCTGCTGGTTCTGTGGGACCGTCTGGCCGAGTTTTTCCCCTCCAGGTTGAAACTCGTTTAGCAGAGACGGGGCAGTCCAGTCCCGGGTGTTAGCTCACTAACTGGGTCAATAACTCTGAAATCTTCTGAGCTACTTTTCTTATCTTGTTCCGTACCCTCACCCATCTCTTCCTGCTATTTTTAGAGCTGAGGTCACATTGCAGGATTAATCTTTAGCTGGAATCGACACAGGGTCTTTCTAAATCAATAATATTAAAAAAAAATCAATATTTGCTCAGCATTGTGTTGATCTGCTGGGGTGATGGGATCTGTTTTTGCAACATGTATTGCATTTCCTGGTGTCATATTTTAAAGAGCAAACCAGGATTGTTTTAGTGCACACTCTCTCAAAAAATCTCTTTAGAAATAACAAAGTAAAAAAATTGGAATTGGTAAGTGGTACTAACATCAAAACTTCTTTATATTTGTTATAAAGCACTCTTCGTTTACAGCAGTAGTGCAAATTTTAAAAAATGAACACTTAGGAGTGGCGCAGTCAAAGTTTGGACTTAAACGTGATGGAGATGTTGTACCATGACGAGGTCCTCCAAGCCCAAAACTGTCAAACGAGGCTGAATTCAGACAGAACTGCAGAGAAACGTGGGTCCCACAGCAAAGTAAAAGCTTAAAACCCACCTGTGTCGAGTTGCCTCTGATCAACATATTTGATGTGTGTTTGCTTGATGATTTTAATGTTGACATTTGACAAAATGTTATGTTTTTAACACTACTGTATCCGTTTATTGTGCTCCTTTCCAGCAGTCCCCAAAGCTCCCTCCTATTGTTGAGACGAAGTCGGACGACCCCGACGACGCCTTCCACCTCTCTCCAGCCACGCGCTCCCGGCGCAACCTCCTGCTTCCCAATTTCACCAGCCCGGTTCGCCGCACCTCCCTGGGCAACCTGCTAGGGGACGAGCTGCGTCAGTTCAACGCCCTGCGACGATGCCGTTCACCAAACCTCAGCCGAGGATTCCTGGGACAAAGCTTGTCCCCTCAGCCACCTTCAAAAAAAGAGCACAGCACTTCCTTATCCACCCCAACTCAGGCTTCAACTTCAGCTAACGGCGAGCCGGGAGACGAGCAAAAACCTGCAAAGTTGCTCATCCCAACGGTGACGTGCTTTCCACCACCGGACCTCAGCCCCAGGTATCGGGACATATTTACCTTTAGGTATTTCTACCTGGGTAAAAATGGCAAGATGAAGCTGAACGACTTGAATAATGCAGTTTATTTTGATAGTATTATTATTTAACTACCTGTTGAAACTGATGAAGTTTGTACAATTCTTCGTCCACATCATTAGAGCTAATATGGATCTTTGGTATCTGAAACAATTAATGGCGATAAATCAATTATTAAAATAATCATCAACTAATTTAGTAATTGATTAGTCAGTAAATGGAGAATACAGACTCTAAAAAGACCACTTGCTAAAAAGAAAAATAACATATTCAAGCCAATCCTGTTCAAAAAAAAAAAAGCATTTAAGATACAAGACATGATAAATTTGTTCTACCCAAAACTCCTGAGGTGGCATAGACTTAGCTTTCCTAGACTCAAATTCACTGTAGGAATGCTACATTGCTGCATTTTAGGCATTAAAATGTTTGTTTTCTTATTTAAAAAAGCAATTGAATTACTTATTTGCATCTTAGTGTATTTCTGATATGGCATAAAAAGGCTTAAATGGTTAAATGAAAATTCAAACCATTTTTCAGGCTGATGGATAGAAAAATCAGTTACTAGAATCCTCAGTTGCAGCCTTGATGTATTTGTGTTTTTTTTAATCTCTTCACTGCTGTCTGCATAACAAATTACCCACTGGGAACAAGAAGACAGGAGAGGTACAAGAGACATGAAGAGGAATAGGATGATGTTTTAATAAATTATTAGACGTATGATATAAGGTGTCAGTAATAAGAGTGGCCACATATCCAGTCAGGTTTATGCTAGGAGCTTATAGATGCTTATACAGAGAGTTGAATTCTCTGCAAAGTGCTAAAGTAGATTTTACAAAACATCAGGGTGACTGTCTGCATAAATAACAGTGTGGATTAGAGAAAATCCCAAATAAATTCAAATTGTGCACACAGGTATAATTTTAAAGAAGCGTTGAAGTTCACTCCAACACAAAACACCGAAGAAGAACGATGCTCGAATATATGAGAACAAAAGTCCCACAACTCCTGTAAATGCATATTACAGCAGATGTCACTGTATTTCATTACTGGAGGGCCTTATCTTGCTGCTCCTACCGTCTGTATCTATAATGTATCACCCAGTAAGCTCCACATGTGGGTAAGGGCTGGTTCATACAGCTCAAATATCTCATCCCATCACATCGAAACCCACATGGGCGTCTGCCAGCTGCAGCTCTCATGGCACATTCTTGGATCATCTTGTGTCTCTGATGATAATTGAAAACGCTCTACTGTAACGTTAACCCACATTCTCCATCTCCTCATCCCTCCTATCAGGGTTGTAGATGGCATCGAAGACAACAGCCACACGTTCCATTTCACCGTGGAGCACAGCAAGCCCAGCTCCAGAACAGGTGGCATCACCCCAGGTAAGACACACCGCCGCCCCCCAGCCGTGGCGGTAAGCTGGAGGCCAGATGGCGTGGAGGTAAACCGGAGAGTTCAAACACTGGGTGCATGTGAGGCAGGCCTGCCTCCTTCTGGGGAAATCTGAGAGCGCAGCAGAAAGGAAAGACAGCCAGGTGTCAGAGAACATGTGAAAGGACAAGTGAGGTCAGAACGGGGTTCACACTGGGTGAGTTTCTGCTGATGATGGCGGTCTGTAGGCTTCAGGTCACACGAGGTCCGGTTCATTTACTTTACTGGAGTCAATATGCAGTTTTCGCAGTGCATTTGTGGTACGAAACATATGGGGGAATTTTTCTGCTATAATTCGAGAGCACACATTTTCAGTCTGAAAGCAGGACTTCATGTCTTGTTATCAAAACTTTCAGTACTTTTAGTACGTTTAGTACTTTTGCTAACATTTTCAGTTTGAAAGCAGGACTTTGTGTCTTGATCTCAAAACTTTTAGTACTTGTGCTAACATTTTCAGTTTGGAAGCAAGACTTCATGTCTTGATCTCAAAACTTTTATTACTTTTGTTAACATTTTCAGTTTGAAAGCAGGACTTGATGTCTTTCTTCTTGAAACTTACTCCTTGTACTCAAAACTTCTGCTCTCCTTCAAATATTCACTGTGCTGTCTCAAACCTTTGTCCTCACGCTCAAAACTTCACTCTGCTTGGATCAAATCTCCGCTTGCAAACCTCTCTGCTCGCCCCCAAAATAAAAAAGTACTGTCGCCTGGCAACCTCTCAGCCGATACTTGTGCTACAATTGATAGAAGCCACACAGGTACACCCACTAGAAGAAAACAAACACACCCTGTATAACACTTTCATTCTATTGGCTGAGAGGTTGCCAGGTGACCTCTCAGTTTCTGGTTTTGAGCAAGTGAGCAGAGAAGTTTGTAAGAGGAGATTTAAAGTTCCAAATCTTATGTTTCTGAATAAATGCATTTTGGTTCAGATTGTAGCAGAAATTAAGTTATGTCATATATAATTGCTGCTGAGGAACATTAGTAATTTAAAGCAAGGAGAAAAGGAAGAGCAAATTCACAGTGACTAATGCTTTAGCATTGCTCAGAGCTAACGTATGGAGAAATATTTTATTTTATTACGTGCTGGCTACAAACTATTATCTGTTTTCATGGTTCATCTGGTGCACTGTGCTTCCTAATTACTCTCTCTGGGATGATGTCACAAAGCTTTTTGTATATGCTAAACATGTCCAAAGAGTCATTTGTGTTTCACATACTTCTCACACAAGAGCTGCTCTGATGCCATTTCACCACATTTAATTTGGTTTAGTTAAAAATCTTCACATATTTATTTATATTTGTGTAAACTGCAACCAAAGCAAAAAGCATTGGATTCTCAAAGAACAGCTCTGTTCATAGATTATGAGGAGTGTCTCAATCTTTCTGGATCTGGAGTTTGCAGTGAAGAAACATTTTCCAATTCCTACAGCCATTTATTTGTGGGGAAAACTGCAACCCGAGGCAAAAAAGCTGTGTATTGCTTGTAACTCTGGTGTGTTTATTTCTCAGTATTATCAGTGCAGTTTGTGTCATTGATCCAGAGAAAAAAGCAGGTGGTGTGCATAGAAAATGTGAATAAAATGTAGAAACTGCATATTTTTGTAAATTTGCCCATATAGTTTCTTGCTACAGAACAATTCATGCAGATTCTAAACTATTTATTCTTTTTTCACTTTTCACAAATGGGAAAAGTTTATAAAAAATGAAAATATGCACATTCTTAACCAGAACAGGGCATAAGTCAGCAATAATTTTATCTTTTCTGAATCTATAGATCCACAATGTTCTATTAAAACTCACATTAAGTCAAGATTTCTGTGATGTGATTGTATTTTTTTTTCTTATGTGTTTTATCTTTTTCTCATAATTCTCCAGAATCCACACAAACAAATGCCACTCTGCTGCAGGAGACGGAGGAGGTGAAGGAGAGCATAGCTCAGCTAAATCTTAAGGTAAAGTGACTTAAAACAGGATTAAGGGGTAAATATGATTCATGGCCTTGAAATTCTACCTTTGCAAATATATATTGTGATATAACCAATTTTAACACAAGCACAAATTGGGATTTTGTTTACTTATTGGCACCCCTGGTAGCAATGTGTGAATAGCCTTGAAGCAAATTAATCTTATATGAAAACAGGATTTATTTTTGTTCTTTAATTTTATTTTTATTATTTCAACCTTTATTTTGAGGACATTTTTTCAGTGGGGAATAAATATTACAACGTAGAGGAGCAAGTAATGTATATTGTCTGTGTCTTCCCTTTTTCTCTGACTTTCTTCTTGTCAAGTTACACAAAAATAAAGGTCACTATTTCCACAATTATTTTTTCTTGTTTATTTTAGTGATGAAAGAAGAGAAAATGTCTTTTTTTTTCTTTTTTTTTGTTTCATTTCCAAACTACTGTTGGTAACTTGCTTGTTTTTTTTGTATTTCCCATTTTAAGGAGTGACTAAAAGAAAAGAACCTTATATCTTAAGTGATGATTTTTTATATATATATATATTAAATATAAGGAGTCTTATTGTTTAATTTTTTATTTTGTTTTGCTACATACCTCGCAGGTGACTGTATTTACGAGGATGTTGGTTGTTTTTTTTATTTATTTCTTTTTCTTGTTGGAATTGTGATTTTTTTTTTAATGTGAAACGCCTAATAAATATATTAAACACTAAATATATATAAGGAGCATTAGCAAGTTAGTCTGTGATGTTATGCTCCTGCAATATATATTTAAAAAACAAACATATTTTCCAGGGGTGCCAGAAATAGTGCTTTGTATTTTGTTGCATCATTTCTGACTCTGTTTATACTTGACTGATGCTTTGCACCTAATCTGACTGTAAATGGAGCTACATTTGGTGCAGCGTAAGCGTCCAGATGGACCCAGTAAGGTGCTGTCAGAAGTTAATATTAATTAATCAGCAGGGCACTTCTGCAATGCAGAAGAACATCAGGAGTGCTGACTCAGAAAAACTCAGGACAGTGTGCAGCTCTAAGGTGGATCTTCTGACCCAACCCTCCCTCCAGACATCTTTTCTTCTTCTCTCATTAGGACACCTTTGTGGTTATATTCACACATAAGGCACCAAATAAACCTCAATCACACAAGCTGATTAATTCCCCTCCTTTGGGAAGACTTGAAGGATTTAAACTGTTCGGGATTTTTTATCGTTACTGGAATATGGTGGTGGGCTCCTTCCTTACAATCTGAGTTCAATTCAATTACCAAACCTAAAAACATTTTGTTTCGATCCATTTTTACTTCCATGTTTGTTAAGAGCACTTTTCAATGTAGGCGAAACCTGGAGAGTTTTCTTTCTTCGTTCTCTTTTCCAACCACTCATTCATTTTTAGCCTGCAGAAAAAGCGCTAAGCCAATGAATAAAAGTAAACTGATTTAGGATTTGGCATTCTTACCCCCACAGACTCACAGATGTGCACTTCGTACAACAGTGATTCTTGAGAATAGGGACAAAATGGGTTTTAATTTTCCCATATTTTTTTTATTATTTCTCAACCTTATGTATGCAAATATGACAAATAATGTTTTGGAAATGTAAAGATGCTAAGGTGCAGACTCCCAGTTGCAACATTTTTTTTAAACTACATTTTTAATTGACCTGACCTAGAACGTTGTCATCACCATCTGACAAAAATAAATATAAAATAATTTTTAAAATACCTTATTAGTGATATTTTACTCATTTTTACAGACAAATGCTTCTAAAGAAACAAAAAAAAATATTAATAACTGAAGGTGGTGACAAACTAGTGAGTAAAAAAGAAATACCTGATACATGTGAAGTAATGCAATTCATGTAAAATAAATTAAAATGAATTAATTTTACATTTAAGTGAGATTTGACAACAATTTCACTGAAAGAATCACAAAAACTCTGACGGAGTTGACAAAAAGCCAAACTACCTCAATTTATAGAATAATATATGATGTTATTCTGAAGGAGGCCATATTGTAGCTCATCAGGCCCATGAAATCTTTACAGTTTACTAAAATTAAGCTTTTATTTCACAAAATTTCATCAAAGTTTTGTAAATTGTCAGTTATGGTGTTGACACATCATGGTTGTGACAAGCAACTTAAGAATAAAACAAGAAAAAACTAAAGAATAACATAAGCTAACCAGAGCTAACTAGCCCTCTTAGCATAGGAAGAGAAAAGACGACATCTTGGGGTCCTCAGAAGTTCTGGTGCCCCCCAATAATGCCTGATTTTTTTTACATTCTTTTCTGACGGTGTTGACAAAAACTAGGGACAAATTTCAACGGAGTTGGAAAATATCTAAAAATAATTTTTAATTCAATTTATTGATACTTTTATAATTATTTATATGACTACTTATACTTAATTGTCACAATATATAATTTTAGTATTTCTTTAATTATTTTAAACTATTATAATGTGTTGAGTTCTGCTCCTGGACAAGGGCTTTTACAGGCATCATCCACCGACTACAGTGTTTAAAATAAAAAAATATTCAGCAAACACCAGGAAAATATACATTGTTGTGCTCACATGACCCAGGTTAGTTTAGTCAGGTATTTGAAAAAATTATATTTTGTGTATATTTTATTCAAATTTTGTGCTTTATCCATAGGACCTGTTTTGTCCCTGTTCTCAAGAATCACTAACAAGATGTTTTGAACAAGATTTGTTTTCTCCACAGTTTTAATAGTAAAGAGGGTTATATAATAATAATAAAAAATAATCAAACTATTTTTAATTTTTTTTACTTAAAGAAAAATCTCAAGGTGCGCACAGCTGTGCAGCTGCAGGCGCTACTGACCTCAGTGATGTATTTGACATTGGAGTTGGTTTAATGACTGCAGAAATCCACTTTACCTTGGTCCGCTATTGGAGTAGCTGCCAGCTTTAGCCTCCAACTGGATTTAACTGAATTCAAACCTTAGTTCAACAATTCGGAACTATTCTTTTAAGTTTACTTTGCTTGACATTATTGTAAAAAGCTTTTTAGTGGTAATAACATACCTATGTGCTCTACACAGGTGGGCGTATTAAACCAAGAAGTATCGGAACTCACCAAGAGCCTTCACAACATGATGCATCTCCTCCAGGCTCATGTATCTGTAAACCACCACCACAAAACCCCCTGTCTTTCAACTCCTCACTCTGTTCATTCGGTGTCCAGCTCTCCCATAGCCCCCAGCACCTCCACAGCTTACTGCCTTTATACCAGTCCGCAGAGTCTCAAAGCCCGGGGCCACCAAAGTGGACCAGTCGCTTCCCAGTGGAGCTACAGCGAAACTGTTCAGTCCCATAGCAACCAGTCTACCACACCAGTCTCTAATGCCTGTCTACGACTTTCACTAAACTCTTCATCTAAGTTAGGTTTATGCCATAGCACTGAGAGCATGACTTTGCCTGTATGGACCAGCCCATCTCTGTTTCATGTCGGTGGAAGTCCTGACTTGGCGCGTCATTCAAGTCGGGATGAGTCCCGACCTCTCGGTGCTGGTCCAATCTCCATCAGCCAGTCCCATCCCACGCTGTGTCTGCAGCCTTCCAGTGACGGCGATGAATTCGCCTGCCTTCTGCCCAGCGCTCCAGCAGGTACATCCACACACAGCCTGCTGGACCCAATGCCTCAAACCTCCAGTGATGCTCTAGGTCACAATTTGACCTTCCAGATCCACGACTCGCACTCCTCCCTCCCTGCTGCCTCCTCTTCACCGCCTGCATTACCCGGCCAGCCGTTCGACTCCTCTCTGGATTCGGGATCTCCACAGATGGATGTTTTAGCGCCCTGTCTCACACTGGGCGACCCCTCTGCTTCAGAGCACACCAGTTTGGAGTGTCTGCTGGGCAACAGGGACTCTGTGGAAAGTAGGGACAGTGAGAGCATGTCATCGCGAAGGTCCAGCATCGGCGGTCAAACTCAGAGCACCGAGCAGTCATGGTGCCTGGACCTCACAGACTGAAAACGTCCACTTTTGAGTTAGACTTGGCAACAGTAGCACTAACCATAAAATTGCGCAAATTGGAATTGCGTAAATAATTTCATATGCCAATTTCGAAATTTCTGTTTCCCGCATACATTTTTTCCCAATGGTTTCCTGAGATAGCAAGTTAATTTCCTGTTTTCTTTAGATAACTAGTTAATTTCTCAATGGTTTTCTCGAGATAATGAGTTAATCCTGATGATTAGTCTGTGTGTTAAACCTCATTCCATCCTTCAACGCATGCCGTTACGCACAATCGCATGTGGCATCAATCTAAAGGCTGTAATGAGATTTAAAACTCCTGATCTCAAAAGCCATCAGGAAATGAATTCTTTATCTCTAGAAAACCATCAGGGAAAAGGGTATTTGGAAAACAGGAAGTTATCTTAGAAAAATGGAAAATTACCTCGTTATCTTGAGAAAATCATTGGGGAAAAATATTTATGAAAACGTCCTCTCTCGGCTTCTATAGATTTGTGAGCCGTATCAAAGTTGGTGTTTTTTGCAAAACAGAAATGGAAAAACTTTTTTCCATCCAACCAGTTTGTATACAGCAGCAGCACACTTACTTGTGGGAACTGACCTCCTTGGACAACATGCAGCTGGCTCCACCAGAGCTCTCAGCGTCGGACAATTCGTCAAAACTTGAGTTTGTTGAATCCGTAGCTGTAATGTAAACTCACCGACTCAAATTTCCCCCAAACACTACATATGTAGCTGCCCCTATAACAGGGGTGGCCAAGTCCAGTCCTCGAGAGCCACCATCCTGCAAGTTTTAGAAGTATCCTTATTCCAACAGACCAGGATCAGCTCTACAGAGGCCTGATAACGAGCCAGTCATTTGATTCAGGTGTGTTGAAGCAGGGATGCATCTGAAACTTGCAGGATGGAGGCTCTCGGGGACTGGACTTGGCCACCCCTGCCCTATAATATAAGGAGCGTGTCCCTCAACGAGTAAATAAGGCTGCGATCACTCTGCAGCCTGAAGTGACCTAGTTCAGTTTTTGTTTTTTTTTTTTGTTTTTTGTTTTTTTGTTTTTTTTTTTTGTTTTGTTTTTTGTTTTGTTTTGTTTTGCCGTAATGCGACATGTATCCGATTTTTTCATGACAGTCTGAACAATACAGGTCGGGTTTTTTCCGAATGCGATACAGACCACTTGATGCGATACTATCCAATCTTTTCTAATGAGACCCGAGTCTCAACGGCCAGGTCCTGAACGTCACTGATACTCGACAAACGTCACTATTCTGCGTCCTGATACGCGCAAGCAGGAAGAAAAACAACAACCATGGCGGACTATAATGAGGGTTAAATTGCTAAAGTACTGATTCCGGTCGGACAACTTCAAAATCATAAGCTATGCTCCACCGTTAGCATCCATGTGTACTTCCGCAAACACCGAGCACGCTCTGTGTGACGTCATTGCGCCCTCTACTGCGCATGCGGGACACGTTCAGGTCGTTTGCAGTTCACACAGGAGAATACATACAATTCATATATTTGGAAGCGTGAACGACCACGGCAAAAAGAAAATCCGTTTTGATAAAAAAAAAAAAAATCATAATTGAGTCACTTCAGGCTGTATTGTGAACGTAGCTTACGACGCTGATGTCTGATAATGGGCACTACTGCAGTGGCTGAAATATGAATACAACTCATAAGTGTTTCGATCCATCATCGGCATTCATTTTAATGATTGAGCACATAAACAAGCTTATATATGTGTGATCTTAATTCAATTTCTTATTTTATGTTAACACCTCAGTTGCAAAATTGTGTTTTTCCGACAGCAGATTATCGGAAAACGTTTGCGCACATTTGTAATGGAAACGCATCAATTGTCACTTTATTGACATGCATCTTCATACAGTATTTAAACCATCTCTAGCAGATTGTTAATCTGTACTTTTTGTTAGCATCCTAACTCTTGGGCTCCTGCATTTGTCACTTTCTATGCAACAGCATGTTTTTGTGCATTATATCGGCTTTACAGAAGTGTGTCTTCAGCTCTGCCACAGGAGCCGCAGTATATGTTGTATATTTTTCCAGCGTCCTCAGTTATTTTGCCATCTATGAAACCTGTTACCTCTCTTGCATGGTAAAAGTTGTTTATTCTTTTTCCTAAGGAAAAGTGTGTAAGCATTCTACATTTCTACATCTATTATTGATTGTGTACACAAATACTGTATTTATACAGGAAGTGAGTCTGAGCTATTGGATATTTTCATATAGAGAGGAACTACAATGGCATGCCTCACTTTGCATGTATGAATATGTGCACTGCATAGATTGTCTGATTTTTTTTAATTATTATTATTTTATTGAATGTCTTTCCAAAATTCAGCATTTTCTTTTCAGACTGCTGTATATCCACTGAACTTTTACTTTCTATGCCCTGCAAATGATCTGGACATTTAAATACATTTCCACACTGTCAAATTAAGTATATTTAAAATTTAAATTTCACCATATTTTCTGTAGTAAGTATTCGAAACACACGTCTGCTGAAGAATATAAAACACATGTCCATATTAAACTGGAACATTTAAATCATGTTCATCCACACAAATTCCTCAGAGGGAAGCACAAATTTTCCTGATTAATTGAGAGTATTTTATCTTTCTGAAAGTTTCTCCTTGGTTGTGAAAATAAAAAACTGAGACCGCATCCTGAGTATCTTTACTGCATTGTGTTGGCTGCATAATAATGTTTATTATCCTGCTGATTGAGCCAATCAGTAGACCCACAACACCACAGATTCTCCGACATTATGCTTAAAATTTTGGGGGACTAATTTAGTCTTTGGTTTATGTTTGACTCAAATAAAGTGGTTTTTGAAATAAAATAAAATAAAATAAAAAAATAATAGTAATAAATCTGGCCAAAGCAAACTGATCCTGCTAGAGTATAAGTAAAGTTTAACAAACCCCACATGGTTATGTTTGGGAGACTTGTCAGACGGTTTTTAGAAGAATACATTGTTTTTATTAATGCTGCAGTTACATTTATTTTGAAGAGATTTCTGGTAGTACCAACACCTGTGGAAACTATTAGTTTTTATATTTTACTTGTTTATTTTTTTTAATGAATAACATACATAAATTGAAAGTTGAAAATGATTCCTGTGCTCTATAAGATTAACTCGTTTTTTCAGCCACTGCTGAAAATCATCATTTTACTGTGCATGTATCACCAGTTTAAAAGAAAGGAAAACGAAAAGACTTGAGCAAATGTGTATATTTTTACTAAATTTTCACAAACTCTAAAAAGAAGTGGAAATATTCTTCAGAGAGAGACTAATTACACTGGGTTACAAAAATATTTTTTGGAAGTTGTTTATATTTGTCAACTGAATTAGGACTATTTTGCACCGCTTAGTCCAAAAATGCCATTCATTTTTCTCAATCAGGTTATTCTAATTTGATCTAGACTAAATTGATGACATTTTTGTGACATTATCAGTTAATTTCTGTTAATATCTCATCCTAAAAAAGGTTTTAGGAGAAAGAAAATGTTTTCTAACAGAGTGCATTAATTAAATTATATAATAAACACTGATAAGGGTAAGTACATGTGAATTGAACATTACGTCTTCATTGTGCTAAATTCTCCGTCTCTTTTCTGTCCTGATGGACTCTCTTCTGCTCACTGATGCCAGATTCTCAGGAAAATGATCCATATGTGAGAACAAGTCATGCATTTCGATCCTCATGTTGCTCCATAATTCAGAAAGTTGACTTTTTGAGCAAAACCAATGTGATGTTTGGATTCAGCACATCAAAATGACCCTAAAACAGTTGGAAAAACCCCAGACAACCTTTTGGTTGTTGACAAGTGTTTTCTATTTTACGGATTTAGGAACCTTTGTCTGATATGACAGGCAGTAAGTTTTGCATAATTTGTCATTTAATTCAGTTTATTTTTGAAATCTGCAGACATCTGTACTTCCATAACTGTCACATTAATAAAAAAGTTTTGCAGAGATTACGTCTTATTAATCAAAAGAATATATAACAGAGCCACTTTTTTATCTCTTCTTTTATCTCTTCTTATCTCAACAAATGAATACCAGAAATTGTAAAGTGTTAAATCCTGCAGATGACTTTGTAAAGAATATTCAGGAGGGAAAAGAGAAGTCTTTTTTGGGAGGGGCAAAAAAACAGGACAGGAAAACTGCTTAAGATTTAAACAGAAATCAGATTAGTTTAGTGTATCGGATACATTAAGATGCTATGTAAACTCAGCCCATGAAAGGCAGATGCAGTGCAATGATGGTACGATGGGATATTATGTCTCGCCGCCTGCGTCGTGACTCGGTGTCATCTCACGAAGATGGAAAAGAACGAAACCAAGGCCGAGCAATCAGTGAGAGTACAGTGAGAATCTGAGAAAGAAGAAGAGCCATGGTGACACGGCGATCTGAGGAAAACTCAGGGAATCTGAGGACAACAAGAGATTAATACACTTAACAGAAAACAGAGAAACAGATCCGGGCCAGAAATGAGGCAGATTCAAACGAAAGCAGCAGCAAAGCCCACTGAGGGAAACAGAAAGTGATTAAAGGAGTGATTTAACTTGTTTCTGGGAGGATTAAACCTTTAATGCCCCCATGTGACAAAAACAGCCTCACCCCAAGCTTGAGAGGAGTAATAAAATAAAATGACTTGAGACTCTTTGGCAAATCCAGTCATTAAAAAATAAATAAAAAAAAATCTATACCTTGTTTATACCTTAAACATTTTTTGTTGGAGTAAACAATAGTGAAGCTGTTTTTTTTATTATTTCTCATATCTGGCCTTGAAGTTAAGCTTGCTTTCCAGAAAAAAAAAAGCCTTTTGACTTTGGAAATTAATTTGTGAAATACCTGCATTGCAATTCTTTAATCTTTTTTTCTTTCAATCTTTAATCTTTCAAATTTTTTACATCTGTGAAAGATGTAAACACTTTGCTGGGATTATGACAGTCTTTAAGTTGCATTTTCTTAAACATCCAGACTGACACGACGCGTGTTTGTGCTAAGCTAAAATAGATAATCTGGAGACTTCTTCATTGTATTAAACATAAAAAGATCATATTAAATAAATTATACCTGTTTATTTTACACTGTATAGTCAAATAAGTTTCAAATAAGTTGGGAAAGTTCTTTTTTTACTGTATTACATTTAGTACTTAAATTACTCTATCAAGCCATTTATTTATTTCTATTTTTATTGCCAATTATGTCAGAATCCGTCCTTCTGTGGTCTTCTTTGAGAGAAACCCAGTTGTTGTTTTTTCTTGTGAAATTGCGCCATCGTGTGTTGAAATGCACACAATTAAATTTTTGTATTTACTTCACTGTTCTTAAAAGGTGCAGATGCTTTGGTGTATTCAGCATTTTTATCTACTAAAAAGAGACAGAAACGGAAAATCATATACATAAAAACAGGATTAATTTATTATTACAAATATTATTATTCTAACATATTTTCAGTGTGTTGGTAATATGCACAAATATATCCCAGATGTTCACTTTAAACTAGAACATGAGTCAAAATTTTCAGTTGTCAAATGTGCGATTCGTGCCTTGTCACACACTGAGGTCCTTAA